ATTAAAATGAATGTTTTTCAGTTTGAAATCCTAGGATAAGTTGTTATCATTTTTTTTTTTTTTTTTTTTTATTAAAACAAATAATTATTTTTTGATAAAGAAAAAATGACAATATTTTAATAAAGAAAAAGGAAGTGGAATTTTTTTAAAAATTCTTTACTTTATCTGTTTTTTGTCTCATTTGTATATATATAAATATATACAAATGAGACAAAAACAGATAAATAAAGAATTTATATATATATATATATATATATATATATATATATATATATATATATATGAAGAAATATAGTCTTAATATGTGCTATATTTATGGGATAAAGTGCTCAATACAAGACATAGAGCGTGTATAAATATAAAAGTGAACATTGAAATCAACACTTAGAGGCGACAGTCTGTTTAAGGATAGACGAAACCGTCAGGCCACACACACACACACACACATATATATATATATATATACACACACACACACACACACATATATACCTTTTCGATTGTGTGTTTCCATATTTTTCAATATGTGTGTACATGGTTATAGATATATAAGTATTTCTATATGGTATGCTAAAATAAATGTTTGCATATGTGAGCACCAAATTATTCCATGAGATCTATTTCACTTATTTTCAGACTGCAATTCTTAACTCGGCTTATTAACATGAGACAATTAATTTTAAATACTTACAGTCGCGTCAGAATATTTGTTTAGTAACTTTCGCCCACCATTTTCCCCGACAGACACGCATGCGCACAAGAATTTGGATCTACCCAAACATTAATATGATTATTTAAAACTCCACTCCTTGTCCAGATATTTGTCGATATACAAATTTTTGTGTTTGCAAACGCAAAGTTTCATACGTGATTTTAAACGCTTGGGCAATCATGTCTCTTTTGATTCATGACTGACTAGGTAGAAGGTTTTCCTGCAGTTGGTAATCATTTCCTTATGTGATAGACTGGTTAACGCGGACAAGTGGCCGAGTGGTCAGAACGTCCGCATTCTGATTATGAGACCCGGGTTCGAATCTTACCATGGTCGAGTTTTCGTGAAGGAAACTTTCTGATGTTATCGAACTGGAGGAATCGATCCCAGCGTACACCAATTTGAAAAGTGCCTGAGAACCATACCAAATGGCTATTGGTTTTCGATAGCTGTGATTTTATAACATGTTTATGGTTTATAAATTTTTAAATAAATAATTATATCTGCTTTTACTTTGTAATTGAGCATAGTTGCAGAATAAAGTAATTGTTGGTTATTGGAATTCATTCCGTATACAACCAATTATTAAACCCCAATACTGTAGGTTGATATATATATATATATATATATATATATATATATATCGAAATAAATAAACTAGACGGGTCAACAATCAAAATTTTCTATCAGGATCATTTTCCAAAAATATTTTTAACTTATTCAAGATAGATAATTGTCTCTCTAATCTTTCTGTCCTGGGTAACAAGGTGCCTTTCATAAAGAGGTTTCACGTATCGGTTTTTCAAGTCTTTTTTTCACTGGTATTTGCAAACTGTACCCATAGCTGAAAGATGCCTTCGGTGATCTCACGTGCAAAACGTCTTATGGATTGAAGGTTGGATCTTTCCAATTGATAGACACTTTAGTTGAATTGAAATGATCCATCTTTCTGTTGTGACCTCGTGGTAATACCATGGCTTTTGGAATCTTCACTGAAGTTCTCAAGTTCTTTTTTTTTTTTAAACTTATTCACGTTTCTCTTGATGTTTCTTGAATGGACTTTGAAGATGGAACCAATAAAAAAAAATTTCAGTTATCTGTTATAATTGTTGCTTTTACCATTACTAAAGACTTGAATGATGGTTTTTTTATCTTTTTATGAATATGTCTGAAGATGGTTTTGAGAAGAAACGTCCGACGTTGACATTAAACATTAAAACGATAATTTTAATTTTTGTTTTGTTTTTCAGTATATTTTTCTTTTATATATATAAATATATTTTCGAATAACTTAAATTTTTTTTCTTATGTATAAAATATATATATATATATATAAAATATATATATATATAAAACCTGTATTATGTATGTAAAAGAATCTATAATTAATTTATTTAAAAAATTTTTAAATATTAAATCATTACAAAAAGAATTGGACAACTTATGTTGTTGTCTTATTTGGATGATGTTGAACATAAAAACAAATTGTTTTAAAAGTTTCAAATTAATTAATATCCTATATATATATATATATATATATATAATAGTTTGACCAATCAAAAAAATATTCACTTTTTTGTAGGTAGAATCTTATTTTCCTTCACCTAATATATAAATATATATCAATATATGATTAAAAATATACGTTTTTATTGATATATTTATTTCGTTTTTTAATATATCAAATATATATATTTTTATATATATTTGCTCGCTTAAGTTATATTTTAGTTTATTTATACTTTCAGTTTTAAAATTTAATTCGATTGAGTCATTGTCGGTGGGAGTACATGATTTATCGGGTCTATTTATAGAAAGTGCATTGCTTTTAATAATGTATGTTTGTTTCCCCCCTTTTTTTTACTTGAATCGAACTTTCGTCACTTTTTTGGTTACTGACTAAATATTTCGATACATATTAAAATTGTGTTTGTGTTGTTAAGTTTACGACCACATTCCGCTTTGGGTAAAGTGAGACATATATATTGTCTTAGTGGTAGAATCTATTCTGACTAATTCAAAAAAATTTTTGAATGAAGCATTTCTTCTTTTCTTCAATTTTAAATATATATCTATATGATTAAATTTGGATTTTAAAATTGGCAGTTTTAATATATAAATATATATATATATATATATAGAATAAATTTTTTTATATATATATATATATATAATGATAAAGAGCTTTTTGAATTTTCCTATACTTGTATTTTATTGGTCATTCCTTTTGGAATAACGTTTTCCCTTGTAAAAAATGTCCATTAATTTGAAATTTTAAAAATTTATTTTACAAACCATTGATTGAAAACAATGTTTTATCGTCAAAATGTTTATTTTAGTATTAACATGTTTATGTTAAGATTTTAAATAAATAATTATAAAGCTTTTTACTTTTTTGATCATATAAGAATATTTTGGATCAATTATTATATATTTTATATATATATATATATATATATTTTGATCATATTTTTTGATTTTCCAATATTAAGCCATAATCTTTTTTATCAAAGGTGCCTCAGAGGTTTTAGATTTGAAGTCTTTTTCACTGCTCTTTTGGAACATATAAATTCCTCTTTAGAAACGTTTTTTTTCTTATTAGAAAATCTTGGTGAAAATATTCATCTTTCTTTTATTGTTAATCCAGTTTTCCTCCTGTTCCATATTCACGTTTCTCTTGATTTCTTGAAATTTGAAGATAGAAAATTAAATTTGTAACGCTTGAAATTTTTTTTTTATAGCAGTTGAAAAGAAGATCTTTGACGATTTGAACTTGGAGAATTTTAAATTTCATCAAAGGGTTTTCGTTTTTTTATAAAACGGGAACCCCTAAAAGTTATAGAAAACCTGTTAAAAAGAATCTCAAAATTTAGGGTTTTTTAAAAAAAATGCAATAAAACTAAGATATCAATTTCATTTTGGTGAAAAGATATTTAATTGCTTTTATAAAAAACGAATTTATATATATATATATATATATATAATATATATATATATATATATATATATATATCTTAATAAAAAAATTCGATGAATAATGAATTTTTTAAAAGAATTGATTTTACTTGAATTTTTTTAATTATTTAAAAATTTAAAACGCTTAGTGAGACGACATGGTAGAATCTGTGACTAAAAAACAATATTTCGATCCTTATCAAGAAATCAAAATGTCTGACCAGCTTATACAACAAGGTCTGTTATCGATTCCTATATGTATTTTAAAAATACTTTTTTGCAATCTTTTTTTCTATATGATATAAAATTTTTATTTTTTATAAATATGGATATATATATATATATTATGATAAAAATAAAAAACCATTAACAAAAATAGTACATTGGAAAAATACAAAAACTTGATGAAAAAATTCATGTTTATCGTAAATGTTTATTTTTAATTACGGATCATATGAGTATTTTATCATATTTTTTTAAAGATTTTTGATCATAAATAAAAATCCTTTTTAGAAAATTTTGCTTTCGGAACATATAAATTATTTTCTTCATTAGAAAACTTGGTAAAATATTTTGATGTAGCCTCCATATTAATTTCATGAAACTAGAAATTAAATTATATAAATTTATGAGTTTAAAATCTTGGAGAATTTAAATCTTCAATTCGTTTTGTAAAATGTAACCCCAGTTCTAGAAAAACTCTTGAATCGTAAAAAAAAAAAACAATAAAAAGTAAGATATCATTTCATTAGAAAATTTATATATATATATATATATATATATTGTCAGGAAAAAAAAATTCGAGAATGAATTTTTAAAAGAATTGATTTTATTTTTTCTTTTAATTATTTATCAATGTTGCTTAGGGACGCCCGGTAAGTAAAAACAATATTTACTTAGGATCAAAAAACTTATACTGAATTATCGATTCCCAGTATTTTCGGATTTTGATTTTTTTTCTGTGTATAAACTTTAGCTTTTTGTAAAATAGACATTCACACACATTATCGAAAATAAAAAACGGTAAAATAGTAATTTAAAGCTAAAATACCTAAAATTTAAAATTTTTTAATTAGATACACCAATTTTTTAAAGTGACTAAATAAAAACTCGATTCAAGTAAATATATATATATATATATGAGTTTAAAATATAAAATATATATATCGGCAAAACTCATATATAGACAAGAATATATATATATATATATATATATATATATATATATACTGTTTATATAACAAGAATTAGGATCGAAATTAATTGAAGACTCACTTGAATACTTGCAGGCTCGTGTGTTGCATGTAAATGAAATGACGTCAGAGATAGATTAATGCACCAGGTGAGTGTGTCCATCTTTCTTTTTTTTTCCACCAATTTTTTTCGCTTCCTCCCAATTTTCCTATATTTGTTGTTCTTTCTTTCTTTCTTTCTTTCTTTCTTTCTTTTTTTCTTTCTTCTTGCCTATATTTCTTGTTTTGCCTAAATTCTTTCATCTTCCTCGAATTCTGTCTAGTTGACTTTCTTTCTGTTTTTTCTTCTTTTTCAATCTGTTTCTATTTTATTTTCTTTCTTCTTTCTTACCATATCTTTTCACGCAGTTTGGTTTTCTTTTTCTCTTTCTTCCTTTCATTCTTTCTTTTTTCCATTCTTTCTTTCTTTTTTATTTCATTCATCTTTCCTTCATACTTTCTTTCTGTCTTAACTTTAATTTCTTTCATTCTTCCTTACCTTCACTCAGTTTGGTTTTCTTTCTTTCTTTCCTTCATTCTTTCTTTCTTGCATGCTTGCTTGCTTTCTTACGATATCTTTTCCCGCCTTCATACAGTTCCGTTTTCTTTTTCTCCTCATTCTTTTTCTTTCTTTCATTTTTCCAATCATTCTTTCTTTCACATTTTCTTTCTTTCCTTCTTAGATTCATTTACTTTCATTCTTTCCTTCATTCTATTGATTTTCGAAACGTTTGTTCCTATTTTTCAACGTTATTTTCTTTCATTCTTTCTTTCTTACCTTCAGGCAGTTTAGTATTATTTCCTTCATTCATATATTTATTCTTTCTTTCTTTTTTCTTTCTTTCTTTCCTTCTTTCTCAATTCTTTCTTTCTACATCCTTTCTTGTCTTCACGGTTCGGTTTTCCTTCTTTTTCTTTCTACTTTCCTTTCTTGTTTCATTCGGAGTTCGGCACTTAATTTTTCCTTAATTAATTCATTTTCGTTCTTTTCTTGCTTTCTTTCTTTTTCTTAGCTTCCATATTCTTTCATTCCTTCTTTCCTTTATTCTTTCTTTCTGTTTTTTTCTTTCCTTAATTTAATTCATTCTTTTACTTTAACAAAGTTTCCCTTTCTTTCATTCTTTCTTTTTCGATTGATTTTTCGAATCGTTTGTTCCATTTTCAACGTTATTCGGCTTTCTTTTTCTTAGTTTCTTTCTTTCTTTCCATCTTTCTTTCTTTATTTCTTTCTTTCTTTCTTTCTTTTATTCTTTCTTTCTGTCTTTTTTCTTACCTTCTTAGATTTATTTTCTTTCATTCTTTCTTACTTTAACAAAGTTTCCCTTTCTTTCATTCTTTCTTTCATTCGATTGATTTTCGAATCGTTTGTTCCTATTTTTCAACGTTATTTTCTTTCATTCTTTCTTCTTTCTTACCTTCAGGCTGTTTTTTCATTTTTCGTTCTTCTTTCTTTATTTATTTTCTTTCTTCCTTTCTTACTTTTTTTACATCCTTTCTCGTCTTCACGCAGTTCGTTTTTTCATTTTCTTTCTTTCTTTCGTTCGTTCTTACGTTGTTACTTTCTTTCATTCTTTCGTTTTTTTTGTCTTTATTTCTTTCCTTTTTAGGTTCATTTTCTTTCGGTTTTTCATACAATTAAGTTGGTTTGCTTTTTCTTTCTTTCATTCTTTCTTTTTTCTTTCTTTTCTTTCTTTCATTTTCTTTTCTTTCTTTAAGTGGTTTCTTTTTCTTAAATCCTGTCTCGTCCTTTCGCTGTTTCTTTTTTTTTCTTTTTTCTTTCTTTTTTTCTTTCGATTTTTCTTTTCTTTCTTTCTTTTTCTTTTTTTTTTTTTTTCTTTCTTTCTGTTTTTTCTTTCCTTCTTAGATTCATCTTCTTCCATTCTTTCTGATCCTTCACGTAGTTTGCTTTTCTTTCATTCATTCTTTCTTTCTTTCTTTCATTCTTTCTTTCTTACCTTCAGGCAGTTTAGTATTCTTTCCTTCATTCATCTATTCTTTCTTTCTTTCTTTCTACATCGTTTCTCGTCTTCAAGCAGTTCGGTTTTTTTCTTTCTTTCTTTCTGTCGTTTTTTTCTTACATGCTTTCTAGCTTTCATTATTTCTTTCTTTCTTTACATCTTAGATTCATCTTCTTCCATTCTTTCTTATCTTTCACGTAGTTTGCTTTTCTTTCATTCATTCATTCTTTCTTTCTTTATTTATTTTTGTCTTTTTACTTTTTTTCTTGCATGCGTTCTTACTTACTTTCACGAAGTTTCCTTTTCTTTCATTTTTTCTTTCATTCCATTTTTTCGAATCGTTTGTTCATAACTTTCAACGTTATTTTCATTCATTCTTTCTTTCTTACCTCCAGGCTGTTTAGTATTCTTTCATCTATCCATTCTTTCTTTCTTTCTTTCTTTCTTTCTTTCTTTCTTTCTACATCCTTCCTCATCTTCACGCAGTTGGGTTTTCTTTCTTTCTTACCTTCATTTTCTTTCATTCTTTCTTGCCTTCACTCACTTTGTTTTCTTTCCTTCATTAATTCATTCTTTCATCCTTTCTCACTTGCTTTCTTTATTACTATATACTTTCGCGCCTTCACGCAATTCGGCTTTCTTTTTCTTTCTTTCTTTCTTTCTTTCTTTTTTCTTTTTTTTTTCTTTTTTATTTCTTTCTTTCTTACATTCTTTCTATCTTTCATTCTTTCTTTCTTTCTTTCTTTTTTATTTCTTTCTTTCTTACATTCTTTCTATCTTTCATTCTTTCTTTATTTCATTCGTTCTTACTTTACGAAGTCTGGCTTTCTTTCATTCATTCAGTCTTTCTTGCTTGCTTGCTTTCCTTCTTACTCTATCCTTTCTCGCATTCACGCAGTTCGGTTTTCTTTTTCCTTTTCTTTTTTTCTTTCTTTCTTTTTTCTTTCTTTCTTTCTTTTTTCTTGAATCGTTTCTTCCTAACCTATTTCTCGATGACGTTCTTTGTTTTTCTTCTTCTGGTGGATTCCTTTTCTTCATCAACTTTTTCTTTTCATTTTCTTTCTTTATTCTTGTCGCTCGTCGTTTTTAGTTAGTTATCCGTTTGTCTTTCATTTCATTCATATTTTCTTTCTTTCTTTCTTTCTTAATTTCTTTCTTTCTTTCTTTGGTTCACGTATTTTGTTTTCCTTTGTCTACTTCTTGCTTGTTTGGTTTCTCTCTTTCTTTTCGTTCTTTTTTTCTTTCTTGCTTTTTCTTCTTATTTTCACGCAGTTTTCATTTTTTACTTTCTTGATTGCATTTTAATTCTTTCTTTCTTTCTTTCTTTCTTTTTTCTTTCTTTCTTTCTTTCTCTTGCCTGCTTCCTTTCTTTTTTATTTTTTTCTTTCTTGCTTTCTGTCTTTCTTTCTTCCGGTTTTTGAATCGTGTTTTTTTTTTCTAATTTTCAAAATTCCTAACCTTTTACACATCGATTTTTTTTCTTTCTTTCTTTCTTTCTTTCTTTTTCTTTCTTTCTTTCTTTCTTTCTTTCGGTTGTATTTCTTTTTTCTTCCAAACTTATTTTTCTTTGTTTCCTAATACTCTTCTTCTTCTTCTCCGCCTCCTCTTTCTTTCTTTCTTTCTTTCTTTCTTTCTTTCTTTCTTTCTTTCTTTTCTTCTTGTTTCTTTATTTCCTAATACACTACATTTCTTCTTCTTCTTCTTCCCCACCCTCCTCCTCCTTCTTCTTCTTCTTCTTCGCCTCCTCCTTCTTTCTTTCTTTCTCTTTTTTCTTCTTGTTTCTTTATTTCCTAATACACTACATTTCTTTTTCTTCTTCCCCACCCTCCTCCTCCTTCTTCTTCTTCTTCTTCTTCGCCTCCTCCTTCTTTCTTTCTTTTCTCTTTTTTCTTCTTGTTTCTTTATTTCCTAATACACTACATTTCTTTTTCTTCTTCCCCACCCTCCTCCTCCTTCTTCTTCTTCTTCTTCTTCGCCTCCTCCTTCTTTCTTTCTTTCTCTTTTTTCTTCTTGTTTCTTTATTTCCTAATACACTACATTTCTTTTTCTTCTTCCCCACCCTCCTCCTCCTCCTTCTTCTTCTTCTTCTTTTCTTTCTTTCAGTTGTATTTCTTTTTCTTCTTCTTTTTCTCTTTCTTCTCCTTCGTCTTCTTCTTCTTAAATCTTAACCTTCCCCCCCCCACAGAAATCTATTGTTGTCCCAATTTCTCTTTCTCGTTTACTTTCTTTCCTTGAGCAACAGTGCACCTCCTCTCTAGTACGTATTCAACCTTACCACCAGCTCACAGCCATCCCCACCCACTTGAGTGTTCTTCCTTTTCGAGTCTTCGACGTCTCAAATAGTCTCTCCCCAGCTACCACTCGCCATCCCTAATATTGTCAATAATTTTTCGGCGTTGTTTCCCTTTGCAGCTGTTTTTGGTGCAGATGCAATGGCGTCTACTGCCGCTGCTGCCACCTAGTGACATAGACACGAATTGTCTGTGATGACTCATCCGCGGCGCATGCGTAAAGTGACATGGTAACACGTGACACCGAAACCCAGGTTGCGTATTTGTATTTTTTTTTTTATTTTTTATATATATATATATATATATATATATATATATATATATATATATATATATATATATATATATCCCCGCCATTCTGACGCTGGTTCGGTCACAGAACTGACTTCATTTCGCTTGATTTTCTTGTCGGAAAGACAAAGTTACAAATTTGAAAGTGTATTATTTATTTTACTGTGCGCGTTTAAAAATCTCTTGTGATTTATTTTGTTTAAATATATTATATATATATATATATATATATATATATATATATATATATATATATATATATATTATTGTGCGGTTAGAATTGGATCTTCAGAGTCTGTCTTTTTTGACTACTGTCTTTTTTTCCCCCTCTGGGCCCGTTTCTTGCCTGCGATGACGAGACTGACTGATAAAGCAGACGGGCGTATAGACAGATTGTCTGCCAGCCGTTGGGGTGGGGGGTGCAATAAGGAAGGGGTGTAGAAAATTGCAGAACAATTTAAGGAAATAAAGGAAGGAAAAGGAGAAAAACTAAAGCGGGAAATTGGATTATTTTAGAAAACAACAACAAAAAAAATGATATATATATATATATATATATATATATATATATATATATATATATCGTTTCTTTTATATATATATATGTACATCGTTACTTTTATATATATATATAAAGTATCTGTTTGTCTCTCACTTTGTCTCTCTCTCTCTTTTATATATATCACTCTCTCTATCTCTCTCTTAACACACTTACGCAGACACCCCCGCCACACGCACACACACACACACACACACACACACACACACACACACATATATATATATAATTAATATATGTAAATATTTTTCACTTAGCTGATTGATGTTCCTTCAGCATCCTGACTCCAGAATTTCGTAGACAGACCCTTCATACACACACACACACACACACACACACACACACACACACACACACATATATATACATATATATATATATATATATATATATATATATATATATATATGGGTTCTCGATTTTATAGACCATATAATAATATTTAGACTGTAACGGACATTAAAACAGGACTCAGATTAATCCCAACCTTTTTCGAAAATAACATCCGGGTTTTCGCTTGATCATTTTCATAATGATTTCACCTCAAGGAAGGCTATAATGCGTCAAAGACGCAAGGTGTTACTTAGAATGAAAGAAAATAAGAAGACGTTAGTGAGGAGAAAGCACAATAAATGAGGGCGGAAGGTAACGACTGAGGTTGCATTTAAAGTGTTAAAGATCGTAGTTGGCAGGTAAGCGAGAAACCGGAAGAGAGTTCGACAGGCGAGAAGTGCGAGAAAATTCTATTAGAATAGAATTGACGATTACATCTAGCTTTTTCAACAATAAAAAAAGTGAGACCTAATTACCAATTCGGCAATTCTCTTTCAATTCATGCGATTGAATCACCAAGATTACCATGATTAGTTTTACTATTAACGATAATTAACAAGATTATGTAAAACAATTCTTTTGAAGATATTAGTCGTGTGCGATGAAAATAGGTCAGTTTTATTAATTTAACACATAAATATGAACGAGTAATATAAGACAGGCGTTTGGTTTGGCCAATAAACGGCGTCTGATTTTCACCGTGATTTCTCGATAATACTGGCCCGTGAAGACGATTCCAGCGTGCGGCTGTGTTGGGAAATTTTCTGAAAACGATGACACAGGTTAACCCAACACTTGTGTGCGATTTGGGAGAGACGAGATTGTTTGGAAACAGTCGATGATGGCGCTAGCCCATAGTCGCATGTCATCATGGTCTAGGGTTTTAGTGTAATGGCCTTGTTCAACAAATTGATCATGCCAGTTAAAATCTTCTCAACATAGTTCTATGCCAGGGGTCGGCAACCTGCGGCACGCGTGCCACGCAGTGGCACGCCAAGCAATTTCCAATGGAACGCAGCCGCAAATTTAATTTTAATATATACTAAAGTATATATACTATATATTACTATATAAAATACATTGTAGAACAAGTATATTGACCTTGACTTGTATGAAACTACGTATGCTATTTTTTATAGATACAAATATTTAAGTAAATGCTCTGTTTTATAAATGACGTCACTTTGTCCATTTCATAATGTGTGACGTCTTTTGTTTACATTCGGATATGCATCGAGCAGATATGAATGTACAAGAGAAAATCATGGAGAATTGCAGTTTAAAAACAGTAAAATCGACCTTGCTAACCGAAACGCTCCTCTGTGGCTCAATCATTAAAAGCACGTCAGGCTATATGACGGTTCCGCATAGGACACAGGTTCGAATCCTGTCGGAGGACGAATATTTTCTATGAAAATTTCTCGGACATTCAGGCCGGTAAATACTGTTTATTATAAACAGAGAATTTACTTAAATATTTGTATCTATAAAAAGAATGTATAAACATAAAAATGTCTTAAAAATAATTGTCGGACCCTGCCCATTTCATAATGTGTGGCGTCATTTGTTTACATTTGGATACGCCTTGAGCAGATATGAATGTACGTGAGAGATTTTGTTTAAAAAAGCAGTAAAATCGACCTCGCTAATCGAGCCCTTCTCTGTGGCTCAATCGGTTAAGGCACATCAAGCTATATGACGTGTTCCGTATGGGTTACAGGTTCGGTTCCTGTCAAAGGATGCATATTTTCTATGAAGATTTCTCGGACATTCAGGTGGTAAATGTTATTAATACTGTTTATTATAAACAGAGCATTTACTTAAATATTTGTATCTATAAAAAGAACGTATAAAAAAAAAAATTTAACATTTAGTTCAATTGAATTCAACTCGGCTTACGAACAAAATGATCGGTATATTTGATGGAACCCTCACTGAATCTGCGTCCTGACTGACTTTAGTCTTTTTCTAAATGTAATTTATATTTTGTCTGCAAGCGTCATATGATCTTTTTGCGACCACCGAAGTTAAGCAACATTGAGCCTGGTCTGTACCTAGATGGGTGACCACTTGAGAATACCAGGTGCTGTAAGCTTGGATGTGTGGTTGGTGTAATGGATAACGGCTCGAAATTGTTGATCGGAGAGCCGAGTTCTAATTTCGATTGGGTTCGTTATATCCACTTATGCGTAAATACTCTAGGGAAATGTATAATCCATCTCTTTTCTTCCAACCTATGGGTTAATTAGTAAGTCTTGTACAATTAAACTATTATTATGCCTCCATCCCAAAATTCTCAAAATACTTCCTGGCTTTAAATAACCTGCAATGTCTTGAAAAGTCATAAAATACGACCCTATCAAGGCATGTCTTTTAGATTTATTTACATTTTCTGGTTTGGTTTGTTTTACAGTATATCAACCTCAATAGGTTATTTAATGCCTACAAGATTTTTATTGCTGATAATATTTTTTCCCAAAACATGTATTGCTGGTAGTAAATTTTTTTCTTTTTTTTTTTAAGTATTGCAAGTAATTTTTTTTTTTCAAAAATGTATTGCTGGTAATATTTTTTTTTCAAAAAAATATACAACCTGGTAAGTTTTTTTTTTTTTCCAAAAATATATTGCTGGTAATAATATTTTTCGTTTAATTTCTGGTAATAATGTACTTTGGTAATATTTTTTTTTTTAAAAATTCATTGCTAATAATAATTTTTTTACAACAATGTATTGCTGGTATTAAAACCTATTTTTACACTTACATCGTGTTTTGACTACAGTTTGGGAGATAACTATTTACCCATATCTGGGACCCTAACAGGTGCTGCCACCCCGTGTCAGGTTGGACCTGGGAACACCAGCAATTAAGAGGTGATTCCAAGCTCCTCAAAACCTCTTGATCAGAGGACTTGCCCAAGACTCGGATCTAGTTTATCTTCATACCCAGCACGCTACATTTTCCTGAATATAAATATATAGGAACTACTGTGGCTAGAAAGTGTGGGATTAGTTTACATATTAATTGTAATGTAGAACTGATCCCTCATTTTATATCCATGTTATAATTTCTTGTTTCTTTTACAAATTCTGATTAGGTATGAATTCCCCTCTTCTCCTCAGCTATGGGTTAATTAGTAAGTAAGACTTGTATCACTAAACCCTTATCTAAAAAAAATTCTTACAATCTAAAAATATTTCCTTGCTTCAAATAACCTGCAAAGGGTTGATAAGCCATAAAAAACAAATCAATCGATCAATGAAATACTGATTAGCTACACAGGCATGTTTTTATAAATTTATTTACATTCTCTGGAATATAAATGTATAAAGACTACCGTGGCCAAAAAGTGAGGGATTTGTTTATATATTAATTGTTATCTAGAATTGATCACTCACTTTATATCCACATTGCTATTTACATGTATATAAACTACCGTAGCCAGAAAGTGAGGGATCTGTTTATATATTAATTGTAATATAGAATTGATCACTCACTTTATATCCACATTGCTATTTACATGTATATAAACTACCGTGGCCAGAAAGTGAGGGATTTGTTTATATATTAATTGTTATATAGAATTGATCCCCCACTTTATATCCACAGTAATCTTTACAGAGGAACTACCGTGGCCAAAAAGAGAGGGATCAGTCTATATATTAACTGTAATATATATCCCACTTTAAATCATAAATTATAATTTCTTGTTTGTTTTTCAAATTCTTATTAGGTACGAAGACATCTCTTCACCTCCAGTTATTGGTTAATTAATAAAACCTGTATCACTAAAAAAATTACCTGAAATTAAAAAAATTCCCATAATCCAATATTTCCTGGCTTTAAATAACCTGAAAAGGGTTGATAAGCCGTAAAAACGAATCAATCAAAATCATATGATTTTTTTTGTAGAAATACGTTACTGCAAAATGAACCCTTCTGCGTGGCAGAAGTACATATTTTGAAAAGTGCTTACAATACGTGTAAAATCACCGTGTCTCCCTGAAGTGATGTCTGATATAAAGGAAATGAATGATACGTTAAGCTTAATAAAGATAATTTTGGATGGAATCATTTTTATCGCGTAAGCAGCGTCTACTTTGATGAATACACGATACTACAGCAAAAGGACTGTTCACCAGCAACTACCGCTATTTCACTCCGCGCAATATTACTATAGATTTATATCAAGTTAAGACGAGTAATTCCTAAAATATAGCTGAGCAGAGTTAGTAATTAAAATTATTGTCCATTAATTAAACACTGGGCGTGATTTATCTTCTATCTTTATACTAAGTTATTGCCTGTTCACTGCGAGATTTCGTCAAATGATTTTGGCGCGAGGGTGTGTGGTATGAGGATTTTCTTCGAACGTTGATTTTCTTCTCCCGACGAGGGCCGATTATATGGTTGGTTACTACTCATTTTTGTCGCATAGTTAAAAAGCAAACGTTAACTGCCAGTTCTCCTGCGTGTACACATCCTAAACTCAGTTGAGCCGACCAGCTGTTTACAGGCCGGTGGCAGCCACTGAGATATTTGATGTACAAATCCAACGTTGGTATCACTTAAGATGAGTTCTCTACATATAGAGGTCACCACAGATCAACTCCTTTTAGAACAGAGCTTCTTTATTGACATTAAATTCGCGGGAATATACATACTACAATCGTAGTGGTCGATATTCAAGTTAGTAGTCACATAAACTGTATGTTATTCTTCCGGGAGACAACCTGTAGTCTCCACTTTTCACATATTTAAATTAGACTACAATTACATTGACTCTGTAATCACTGTAAGATTCTATAAAGAAAGCCTTGTGTTAAAACTAACTGCTACAATAAACGTATTATCAGGGACCTTGCTGTTGGACGTAGTTTATCGTCTTACCCAAGACGCAGATGTAGTTTATACCCTGGACGCGTTGATGTATATGACAGTTGGCTAGATACTAAATTAAGTCAATCAGAAATGAGTGAGTGATAGGCGAATCGCTGGGTGAGTCAAAATACTGAAATATTGCGTCCGTCTTCCAATGGTGAAAAAGGCCAAAATAATTACTATTGTGCACCGTCTAAGGTTACAAAAGCCGGGCGGAAAATGATTAAGACTCAAGCATGATATGGCTTCAAGGTTACCCACCTAGAGGTACATGCGAGATAGGTCACTGGAAATACCTCGATATTATTTGACTGCTGACCAAAGTAGTCTCTTTAATCGTTACCAAAGAGTTCAGGCTCCTTGTTACTGTTGAGGGGTCCTCCCCTTTTTACACGAATGGACTCACCCAGTATATACATATACTACTGCTACGAGAAGACTCGAGAGAGCAAGAAACAGAGAGAAGGAGTGAAAGGTTGGACAGACCGGAAGAGTGAGAGTAAAGTGACAGACAGACAGAACGAACGTAGCCAGCAAGAGTCCCAGTGAGCGTTGCACGTAGACTCAGTAAGAAGTCATACAGCGATACTTCAATACCAAAGACTGTATAGATATTTTGCTACTAACCCGTATTCCTGGAACTACTAACCTGCTTTACCAGTTTGTATTATTACGTTAATACATTATTTTCATATATTCATTAATGGCGTTTGTTATTTATTGGCACCGGATTTCATCCCGGAATCTACAACAGTTACCACAACAAATAAATCGCCAATCCGGTAGCTTCAAAATGAAAGGTAAGCACCAAGAATGACCAATCAGAAAGGAACTGGAAACCCCACCCTAAAAAAGGCGACATACGTTGGAATTTCTAACAGATCCCTTTATTTAGTCTATTTTGGTAGACTGTTCTAATTCCAAGTGACATGCCTCTTTCTGGATATCTCAGCTTCAATTAATTCCCTTTAGTAACACAACTCTCCAAATATTTATTCCCCTCCCCCCACCAGGGTACAAGCGTCGGTTGAAGTAATCCAAAATGTGATTTGATCCAAAGAGTTGTGAGTTCAATACCTGGCCACAGCAGAGAGAAAAAAAAACTTGGAGAGTTGAGTTACTAAAGGGAAATAACTGAACCTGAGATATCCCCAAAAAGGGCATGGCACGTGGAATTAGAACAATCTACTCTAGTGGACAAAATAAATGGCTCGGTTCGAATTTCCAACGTATATCACCTGAAGAACAAGGACCGAAAACGTCGTGAACATGGCAACAGAGATGAAGACAGGATTCCGAACGATGTAAACAGTTATCCTACCTCATCTCGGAAACATAGACAGAAAACAACTCTACTCCTATTTAATAGACATAATGTAAAATGCAAGCTAAATAAAACCGCAAGTTTTATTCTAATAGTTTCTTCGATTGAACGTCTCGCCTATGGAACTCTCTTCCAGCTTCTTGCTTTCCTCTCAACTAGAATCGATAAATATTTGAATGCAACATTAATCGTCATCTTCTGTCTCCATGAATCTTGTTCTTTTTATTTCCTTTTTTATTTTATTTTTATTTTTTATTGTCGATTTCATTTTTTTATTTTATTTTTTATTTTATTTTTTATTTTGTTTTTATTTTATTATTATTTTATTTTTATTTTATTTTATTTTCTATTTTATTTTATTTTTATTTTATTTTATTTTTTAATTTTTATTCTTTTTTTTTATTGTTTAGTTCATTTTTTTAATTTTTATTTTATTTTATTTTGCTTTTATTTTTTATTTTATTTTTATATTGTTTATTTTAATTTATATTTAGCTTTATTTTTATTTTATTTTAATTTTATTTTTGTTTTTATTTTATTCTTTTTTATTTTTTTATCGTGGCTTTCATTTTTTATTTTATTCTTCATTTTATTTTTATTTTATTTTTATTTTGCTTTTATTTTATTTTATTTTTATTTTGTTTATTTTATATTTTGTTTTATTTTTATTTTATTTTTATTTAATTTTATTTTTTATTTTATTTTTTATTCATGAATCTTGTTCTTTATATTTTCCCTTCTCAGTAATGTTTTCTCAGTTCCTTTCCCTTTGAGTAAGTGGCATTATCGCCTTGCTGGTGGTGGACTGATTAAAAAACAAGATTCATATTTAACGCTTAAATGGCGGGCGTCATTTCGTTGATGTTTCGTTGGAGATGGACAAATATCA